TTAGGAGTCAGGTGTCAGGCTACATGAATCCCCAACTATTGCCCCCATCCCCGCCACAGCGATGAGGGGTTGGGGTAAGAACCAAAATTAAGATGATCCTCCTATAATTAATTTTATACATGGGAAATTATAAATCTTCCATGTATAAAATCTAATTATTGGACAGTAATCTTAAATTCACAGTGATCTTGGAATCAGGTAAAACGCTGTAATAGCTTTGTCCTGCTGCAGTTTCCTTTGTGCATTTATTGCTGGGGTCTGGCAGCTCAAACACTGAGCTGTGGAACAGCATAGAAAAGCTTGATTGCTGGGTAGGGATCATAGCACTCTTGTGCTTTATCATCATTAGCTCCTAGCTCTACATGGCACCACAAGTCCCAGGGACCTTAGCTCCTCTTTCCAGCCTGTTGAAATAATAAAAGCTCCAGGGCAGAAAGGTGGGTACAGGGAGTTCACAAATAAATTTCAGCATAGAACGCTCTGTCCTCTTTGAGAGACTCCAGACATTCACATTTTGGGGGAATGGTAGAAGAAAAATTCTAGACAAAAAAAATGGACTGCAAGTATCACCTTGAAAACTGAATATTTAAGCAATATGCCAAACCCAACTAACAGCATGTAGAGAAAGTGCTAACAGCATCTACACTGCTGAAGTGCAGACCTACAATGGGGATCAGTCTAAAGCAAGTTACAGAAGCAGCTATGGACCGAGTGAAGTAAACTCTAGGAGTGCTGATTGTCTAGCTAAAGAATGACAAAGTCCATTCAAAGTGTTTGCATTATGAAGTGCATTGAAAGTGTTTATTATTAAGCTGTTCCTTGTACTTTTCCCATAAGCAACAAATAATGGTGGTTTTCCAAGGGAGAGCCAATGCCTGTTCAACTTACCCTTCTGAGAGAAGCCACAACACAGTCCTCCAGCTTCCTAGGGTGCTTTGCTCCTTCCCCTGTCCCCCTGCCCTGGAAGCAGCATGTCACTCTGGCAGGATCTACTCCTCTAGCCAAGCAGGGAGCAGAACACACTCCATTCACAATACCACATTATGCTGCAGGCAGACGGTCTGACTCTGAGCAGTCTGGATGAGCCAATCAAAGCTTCTCTGTGTACTGCTGCCATCTGTCACTATACAGACTGAGGGAGCCTAGAGAATACAGAGATGTGTGCACAGGGGCCCCCTGGCTACACAGCATCAGCACTCCAAGCTCATTGCTCTTCAAGGGCTCAGGCATCTCCAGGTAAGTTCTACCAAGACAACAAACCCAGGAAAATGCTCCTACGTAATTTAAATGCGCATATATACCCTACATCAGCCTGGCATCTGTTTTAAGTGTGAAGTTTGTCACCAGTTTTGAAACAAGAAATTGTGGCCCTCAAATGGGTAATTATCAGTTGTGGTGCTTTACAACACCTGAAAAACAGTGGCCATGCCCTCCTGCATAAGGTAACCACAGTCGCAACTGAGTATATTACAGCAGCAGAGATGGTCAAGGATAAAGAAATGGTAAGTTAAAAATAAATAAATAAAATAACCCTCTGGCAGACAAAATAAGTGGTCCCCTTGAACTTCCATTTAAAAAAAAAAAAAAGTATATCTTAAGTTCTTCACTAATCTTAGTAAAGTTCTCTCAAACCCAAAGATGGCTAAAAGGGTTTTTGAGACTTAAGGAAATGAACTTTTCCTGTGAGACCAGAAAACCTGATCTATTAAGACCTCCATGTGGAAAATGGTTGAATACTTAAGTCAAAAAATGTCTGCTCTATTGTTTTTAGATGTTTTTCTCTAGAATTCTTGTGCTTCAAATAAAATGCTCTCTTTTAAAGGTGTAAGTTGGTCACTTAGTTAATATAATTGCACCCCGAAAGGCAGAACTGCTGACATTGGGGAACAAAAAGAAAACTGCAACCAAAAGCCCAGTCAGAGGAGAGCGCCATGCCATTTCTCTAAAGAGTCGAAAAACAATGTACTTGAAAAGACCAAGAGCAGTCAGAGCTGCAGTTACCTGAGTAACCATAATTTTCAGTTCATCTGCATAAAACTTCCCCAAGTTTGTTTGTTGGTTTTAGTGTTTCACTACTTTTTGCATAGACAAGGACATTCCTAAACTGAACTCAAAACATATTTGTAACAGTAATAAAATACTATAAAACGAGAGCTAAATATTATCTGAGCAAGCAAATCCATACAAATGGATTAAGAGGGAAAAAAAAATATCAGTATAACTGCAGTTCAATCTAGCTACATGTCATGATCAAATTAAAATATATCATGTTTAACTACATATATTTGAGATTTTGTCTGGTTCAATGATAAACTGTAGTTTACCTTGTGGAAATTCCATATGGGAATTCAAGATGAGAAATAAGGAACTTGTACACAAGAGGGGAAATGAGAAATCTGACCAACTGCTAACTTTGTGCAATGGCAAAAATATCCTACAAGAACCATTATTTTAAAAAATGCATATAGGAAAAAAGTGGTTATATTGTAAATTTTATTGCAACACCTCAAAGTCGATTACTATTAATAATAACTCCTGTCATGTTGTAGAGCACAAAATGACACCTTACAAGTACACTGAAAATATATCCACAACATCAAGCAGTGACTTGGGATGGGGTTTGTCTTCCTTCGAAGAATCAGTATCAAATTTGTACCACTGGTCAATATCTAAGCTAGATCAGCTGTCCAATCTGGAAATAGAATTGCTATGTTATGAATTGCAAGTCTTCATACATCAAAGCTTCAAAAAATTTTGAAAAACGTTAAATTTTGGAAATTATACTTCTATGGTACAACGTCTTAGCTAGAAACACCTTGTTCATAATGTCATATTTGACACTACTCAGATCCTGGAGTTGCATGAAAGTCAAGAAAAGCAAGTACACTTTCTTGCTCCAGCATCATATAGCCTTAGACCTCCACAGGCATTTTACTTCTTTGAAAAGTCCAAAGCATCTCAATACCAGGGTTCGTGTGGGGGGAAGGAGAGCAGAGAAGAGATGTTAATAGTCAACTGGTATCACAATAGAAGCAACAGCTGCAAGAAAAATTATTCAAAACCCTCTATCAAGCCTGCCAAGGATAAAGAGACAAGTAGCAGCAATGGAAAAATTCAACGGAAAAAAATATTCAACCATGCAGTTTATTTAGTATAAAGGCAAAAATAAGAGTTATGCCCATCAATATCATTACATGCCACTGTAAGAAGTGTAAAATGCCAGTCATTTAACTAAACCTCTTTGTATTAAATTTGTTCAGCCCATTAATACATTCTTATACAAGGCTTTATCAATCTTGTTACTGGTGCCAATTATGTGTATTTTTTCATGCAGAGACAGAAATGCATATTAAATGAGCTTATATATTCATCTAGCTACAGTCAATCATTTTTACTAAGAGAACAGCACTTATCTAAGTGTCATTTGTTACTGGGCTGCAATTACCCATAGCCAAGTTGTAAAACAAATGAAGATCGATAAGGTTTAAGGCAGTGGTTCTCAACTGTTTTGGACACAAGGCCCTCCTCACTGGACTCGAGGCACCCCCCACCATAAACTTCTGTGAATTCAGTGGCACCCAATTAAAAAATTAAGTTATATCTTTATTACAGTGCTTATCTCCTTACACAGGGGCTGGACACTAAGGGTGGAGGAGATGATCCAGGCAGAGACAAGCCTGAGCCTGGCTTATCTGATCTGCTTATCTCCTCACACTTCACAGCACTCTTCAAAGGGTCTGGTGGCACCCCAGGGTGCTGTGGCACCCTGGTTAAGAATCAGTGGTTTGAAGTGTCAAGGGCTCTATTAACTATTTTGCATAAAAACACAATTCTTAAGAAGCATAAAACATCAAAATGAAACTAGACTTCTTTCTTGGTGGGTCTTTTTTTTTGTTTTAAATGTAAAATTTGGTTGATTTTACGGTTTGTGAGTTTTTTTCATGCAACTCTTTTAAATAATCCTTCTAAGAGGAGAAAGAGAGTTTCTTTACTTAGAGATTTTAAGCAAACTGTTCTCTACAGTACTTCACATAAGAACAATAAAACAACTTTTTAGTTACACCTTAAGCAATTCCTCTTTCCTCACACAAAATACTCAAGGAGCATCTTCCCCCAGGACTGAAGGACCGTCTGGTAAAGAAACACAAACGAGGTTCACTGTCGATCAAAAGGTTGCAGAAAGCCAAATAGTTTAATTGAAGATAAATATGTTGTCTGAACAAAACAATTCATGTAAAATGATGTAAAAGTGAGAAAATACTGAGAGATGAGGTTGGAGAAACGATGCTATCCAGATGCATGTTCTGTACTTGTTTTTCAGCCGCTTCTGTATATCCACCACGAGCAACAGAACCACAGGTAGTAACTCAATATGCAGTAAGTTTGTGAATCATTTGTTAAAACACATTACTTAAATTGAAGTTACAGTTAGAAACATACCATTTCAGAATAAAAATAATTTAATGTTGCCCAGGCCCTTAACATGGAAGGCGCACTTTAAATACAGGACAACACTGACAGAATTAAACAGAGTAAGAACAAGGTCTCTCAAACTTGGTAGTTCTACTCTCACCTACTTGTCTTCTTTATTCTGTTTCTAAAAAACCAGAACCAGTGCCCTGGGATAATATTCACCCATGTATTAAAAAAAGAAAGTGCTGGAAGAGTCAGGATATTGACTAGGAAAAAAATCCTCCCTTCTGGATCAGGCAGGCACCGTATTCACCCACTGTACCATCTAAACACAAGTCCTGTAAGCTTCGATAAGCCGTTCCCCATAGAGAGTAGCATCCCTGACCTAATTAAAACTGTTGCCACTGATTTCAGTGGGGTCAGGATGGCAGTCAGGCTCCCTACTTATCCAAATTAGGTAGTCATCTCAGTAGCATCCTAGTCAACCACTTGTCTAACATTCAGTATTTCTAAGAATGCATCACATGCCCGCCATATTTTTCCATACAGTCAGTTAAACAGTTTAACAAAAAAAAGCCACAAATAGCTTCTTTAAAGATCTTTTAGTTCATTATTTTTTGTTAAAAACATTGGTTGCAGTACAACAGTTTAACATACAGTGTCAACAAAACGCACTGAATTTACATGCACAAGCCAATAAACAATAGTACATGTCCTTAGTATTGTCATTCTAAAATGAGTACTACTACAATAGCTGACATTTAGCTATGTATTTGTTCTTGTGAACTCTTAAAAAGGAACTAGGATGATCTTAAGTGCTCCAGTTTTGATATGTTAGTGAAGTTACAGAAGTTTCAGTATTGCCAAAGTTGTCAATGAAGGGGTCAATATTGTAAGGAAATACAGTCCCAAGCCTCCTGTAAATGTAGCTACAGATTTCAGGGCAAAATGCATGTTTAACATGTACTCTTAGGTCTTTAAAAATATAAAAGGGATTAATTACAGCTTTGTATAGAACAAATACCAAAACACTAGTCATCAAAAGAAGCAAAAGCTCTTGAAAAAACATATATAAGCAGAGGAAGAAGATAAAAGTTTATTCTAGACAAAAAGAATACTTGAATAAGTGGCCCGAAAGAATCCAAGCACCACATAAAACAAATTTAAACAGAAAGGAATATATCAGTATCCTAATCAAAGGATACACTTTCAAGCTATTTTAAAATAAACTTCCAATATTTAAAAACCAAAAATGTTCCTGACTACTTGGGGTTTCTTTCTACCAAAATTTGGTCCAGTTTCTAATTTTTAACATATAAGGATGGCATATAAGGATACTATCTGAAAGTTTATGAAAAGTTATTTTTGTGGTTGGTGCAATTTTTAGGTGTGACATTAGCAGTATCATCTCATAACTTAACTAGAGTAATGGTGGTTCTTTGTTCTTTTATCCATTATAAATAAGGGCTGATACTGGTGTTCTGGAGCTTCTGGACAGTCAAAAGCTATCAGATTTATGACTGAAGACATGTGCTGCTGGATCAGCAATTTAAAGCAAACTGGGGTTTTGTAGTAATGTTTTTACTACACCAAACAAAGTATTTGCTCTTGTGGTAATTCAGGTAACTTTTTAATTTCTTTCACCAGTTTAGAAATACGTTGTGCAACAGATCAGCGAAAGGATGTAGAGCTGCTAAAGTGCCATCCCCCCCACCCCCATCTGGCTTTTGCTATCTTTTCCTATTTTGTACTCAGAGGGAAAATAGTCTCTCCTTTGTAAGCAATGAATATTAATCCATTACTATTGTACCAATAGGTCAGACACTGAAATATTATAACTACTCAACATGGTAGTTGCAACAGAAAAATCACAAATGATCATATAAAAAGATTGTACATGATCACAAAGAAATTAAATCGATTTGGAATAATACGCTCTGCATAAGACTGCAAAAGTAAGGAAGGCAAAAAAGGCCCCAGGATCCATCTTTTCTTCACTAGATGCCTTCACAGCAAAAAAAAAAAAAAAATCTAATGTTAACTGTAGGTTATATTCTGCAAATCAGATCCTCTAATCCAGGCTGGTAGGATTTTTTTTTTAATTATTGTTATTTTTAAGGATTTCAATTTAACTATCAGAGATGCTACTTTCAGACACACACACACAGTCAAATTTCACCTTAAAAAACTTCCCTTCTTTGTCTAATATCCATTGACTCCTCTCACGTTATCCATTACCCTGTAGAGAATAAGGTGTTATTATTTTGACTCAGCCATATATAATTACGCCGTTAGGGACTGGTCTGAATTCTTAAAAGGTCCAGTTAAAGTTCAGGAAGGGAGGGAAGTAAGTTTATTGGAAGCAACTAACTCATTTGGTTGGGTTGGTAAGTAAACACAGGATAAAACCAAACATTAATCTTGATTCTCAAAATATTACTGTAGAAGAAAAAAAAGAGGTGGGTGACAGTGTAGAAACTGAAGAATGGACATGGTAAGGAGGCTGGCTGGAAACACTTACCTTGCTGAGCATTAGAGTGGAAGAGGCAAAGAGGCTAGAGTTGTGAAGCAAACCAACCACTGGATGACAAATACATCCAACCCGAGGCACTGCAAACTGGTGGCTCAGAGAACAAACCACACACAACAAGGCCACATAAAGTCTACATCCCAAATCACCCACCAACTGGCTTCACTGATAGTCTGGAACAAAGGACCTGATGAGTACTGAGGATCTTTTCTGACATGCACTTTAAAATGTTAGGCAACAAATACGCGAAACCAAAAAGTTACAGTACATCCATGGCAAGCGGTTAAGGTAATAACCCCATCCATTAAAGAAGGAAGGCAAGAGGGAAACTGGTAAACGTCAGTTGCCATTATAAATGAAACACTTCAGATTTACATTAAATAAAAAGCAAAATGGTATCTTATAAAAGATGTACCGAGTAAGACAAAGCCACAATAAATTAGTGTTTCCATAAAACTACATGCTGAATGTTTTGTTCCCAAGTCTATACATTTTTTACTGTCTGGTAATTCCTAAATATAGACAGCATAATTGAGTAATTGAGGTACATTAGTTTACATTTTTATATGTTTTGTAAAAAGGTTATTTTTTCTCTTCCAGTTTTTCTTCTTCGTCTCCAAAGAAAAACAAAGGAAACATTCCTAAAAGGCAGCCAATGGTTACTCCAATAGCTTTACCCTAAGGAAAGAAAAGGGGGAGGGGAAAAAAAGGAAATGACCAGTTGTATTGTTTGTGATACAATTGTGACCTCACTTTTGTAATAGCCCCCCAACCCAGGAATAATGTCCCACTGGTCTCACCACCATACTACCCCACTGAAAGAACAAGCAAAAGCAAAATACAGTACACAGTGGGTTATCAGAACACTTTCCTTAGCCTAGTCTTATCAGGTGCCTATACATACATGCGGAAGTTGCTGTGATCACAGCGCATCAGAGCACTCAATTAAGCAGCACGGAGACACTGACATACAAGACATGGAGCTTGGCTGGAGTGCGGTAATTACCAATGCTCCAGCAGACTTGATTAACCAAGTCGCTGGAGCATGGTAATTGCCATGCTACAGCCAGCCTCTGCATCTTGTTCATCAGCACCCCTGCGTTTCATCAAAAGGGGTTTAGTTCAAGCACCTCTGCCCCCACTGCCATTCTGAAGTGAAGGAATGCTATCACAAGACACTGTGTCACTTTAATTAGAGCAGCTCTCAGACCCACTAATTAAAGCGTCTCCCCCAAATCCCCACTGGAGCGCACGTAGAAGTGCCCATTGTGCTCTGAAACAGGCAACTTACGGTCATAGAGGGGTATGCATGTCTACAATATTGGCAGAGCATAAGGAATGGGGTTTACCGCCATAAGACATGTATATAGAGCAGAAGGGACTTGAATTTGATATGGTAAAGGAAAAGTCAGTGGAGATATGCATAAAATGAGTAACATGGTTAGACTGACAGGCAAGGCAGACGCATTCAAAGCTCAACTGCTGGGAGAATAAGGGAGTTATGCAGGTGTCAGAGAGGCCAGAGAAGATTAATCACAATGGGACTTGAGGGCTTGAGATAGAGATTTCATTTTGCGTGTAAAAATGAAAGGGACTCATTTTAAAATGTTATAAAGGAAGAAGCAATGAGACTTGACCTAGATGTCTAAGTCAAAGAGAATGAAAATGTCAAAACACGGCATCCAGATGCCAAGCCTGAGAAACAATAAGGATGGCAGTATTGCAAAGTGACTGATAATGGGTGAATGGAAAAGCCTCAAAGGGAAGATAAGTTTAGTCTGGGCCACATTAAGGTTAAATTAATGGCATCCAGAAGATGATGCAGATTGTGAAGCAACTCTAGATAGTGGAATGATACCCTCCAGAATCAATCACCAAGTGATAGCTTAATCTATACGAGATGAAATCTTAGGGAAAAGTGCATTAATATTTAATTTTACTTACACATGCTAAAGTTGGTTTAATGTTAACATTTGGAATTAGCACTGGAAAATTGTGACTGCTCAAAGCTAAACAGCAGTCAGCTAAAAACACACTTAGCACCTTTGCACAGAGCTGAATGATACACTACTTGTTTTCCCATAGGCACCTTTACATTGGGACGTGTGTGTGTGTACTCAGACACTGCCCCACCTATTGGGGACCTTTCCTAGATAAAAGTGAATTCTCTTCCCCTAATTTACCCAGAAGTAAAGTTTAACTCCTGCTTGGATATTTCTTTCACCTTACATAATCTTGCATTTATTTTCTCAAAATGAATTGCCAACCCTCTTTTTAAATGAGTCTATGAAATATTTCAATGATTAAATAAAATTAACCAGCCAAATGCTTCCAATCTGCAAGGCAATGAGTGCCCACTATTTTTTAAAGTGATTCCTATAATGAGCCTTGGCAAAGAATATTAATCTAAAACTAATTCATAATAGATTCTAATTCAAGTTATTTTTGCATCCAGGTTAATTTTAAATAACGAATTAAAGATTGGAATGATATTTTCTACAACTGGAACATCTGTATCATCCAACCTGATTTTATAAATCTCACAAAATGGATACAAATATCCAGGTTTCTAAAGGACAACCGTTACCACCCCATCCATCCTCTGAACTGACCTCTAAAAGATACCCATCTTTTACAACCACTGCAACCATAGTTCCTGTATGTTACATTGATGTGGTAGAAATCTACCACAATATCTCTATTGTGGCCTGCCTGTCACCACTCAAACTTGGCTCCGTAACACTCCTCAAGCTCTACCTATACCAGCTCCCTCAATTTGCTGCAAAGCTGTTATTTAACAAATATCAACAGCTAATGCATTTCATATTGACAAACATGGAAAAAATGGATTTATTCCACCCCTAATAACCACTGACTATTACAAGCAAACTATAGATGAAATACACTCACCAAGTGTGCGCTGAGCCGTGTTTGCCACATATCAGCTTGTTTGGGTGTTAGATCAGGAATTGATAGGCCCAATCTCGAAGCTAAAGCTTCCACATAACCTGCAAGACTGAGATAACCACATGCACTCAAATGCTTTTGGCTATGAAAACAATGCCTATAGTAACACACAAATAAAAATGCATTTTCCTCTGGCATACTTTACAGCAGAACCCAGATAGTTCATGGAATTTAATTCTGTAGCCCTAGTGAAGATGGGGTTTGCAAACCAGCCAGGGGTTATTTAGTAGTAGGCATCTGTCTGTCTTGCAAGACAACAGAAGTATGCCAAGTGAGACGTTTGCTCAATGAACATAATCCTCACTTGAAAGATAAAGCAAAGATGGAGTGACCTCTCCAGATTCAAAACCCTGGGCAGTGTATATGAAAACATTGAGCTGCCCACGCACCAGTGTCCCCCTCTTAGCCTTGCTGGTTTAATCCAAAGGAAAGGCAGGTACCAGTACATTCAAAACCAGCTTGGCCACAGGAGCTGCTGAAGCCAAGGAGATCATCCATTTTTCCATCTATCGTGGCTCCACTGGCTGCTGATCAGGGTTAAGGAGCCCAGTCTACCCTATCATGGAGTGGACCTCAGCTCCATAAACAGCAAACAGCTGTGTGGGACCACCGAGTTGCTCTAGCTGATTGTTGAAGCTTTTACTTAAAAAAGAGCTGTTTCTGCAGTCAGTCAGCTACACAGGATTGCTGCTGTGCTCTAGCTAAAGGGAAAGGCAACGCCTCTGAAGGAAGAGCTGCGAAGAACTGGACAGCTCATCCTTCACTCAGCAACCCGCTGTGAATAACGTGGATCAAAACAAGCTGGGTTTTGCTGCACTGCTAGCCACCATTGGCACATATGGACCAACAGTCACATTTCAGAAGATCAAGTATTTCGTTGCAAGTGCACATGTAATAAAATTCACTCCTCAATTTTGTATGTGATGTAAGAGATCCTGGTTTTCTCCGTTTTAAAAACTGTAAAATCTCCGATTAAAACCACACACATTCTCTAATTAAAAACCCCCAAATCCATGTTTTTCCAAGATTAAAATGAAACGCCACTGTGCGTGCGTGTGTCTAGCTATCTCTCTCTCTCAATAGAATACAATGTTTTATTAATCTATTATTTACAATTTTAAAGCAATTTAGAAGCCTACCAGTACCTCAATCACTATAATAAAATAAATTCTAAATACCTATAAAATGTTGGCATTTGATTTGGGTTTTTTATCATGAAAAATCAGAGCTCCCCCTGCCCCTTTCACTCACCAGGATGCGGGTCTAGCTGGGACTGTTCCCCACTCTCCCTGCTTTGTGGTGCTGACCCCTGCCCATGCCCCTCACTCCCATGCCACAACCCCCCAAGCCCTGCCAGTGCCCCTCATTCCCCAACCCCTCCAGCCCTGCTGAAGAGGGCCCCCAGCTGCCAGGGCTACCGGGCCAGAGACCCAGGTCCACAGTCCCGTGCCTGCCCACACAAAAGTGCCTAAGCCCCAGCGGCTGCCTGTGGGATGCGGCAGCTGCTGCAGTCAGAGCAGAGCAGAGCCTAGCTCCCCCTGCCCCACAGACAGCACAGCCAGAGCAAAGCCCACAGGAGAAGGTCGAGTATGGGCTGCCCACCGCAGGCTCGGGGCTCCCCACCATGCTGCCCTCCCCACAGGGGCCTTCACAGCCCAGTGGGCAGGACCTGGTATGGCTAGGCTCAGCGCCGCTGCCAGGAGCCTCGCATCACCGTGCATATGGCACCCCTGCCTGATCGCCCTCCTCCTGCTCTCTGCAGCCTTTGTAGGCTGGAACTCTGCCAGCCTGCAAGGAGAAATCCAATGTTTCCTGCAGCTTTCCCCTTAAAAAGAGAAAATCCGCAGTTTCCTCCTTAAAGAGAGAACATCCGTGTTTTACCACATTTTTCCATAGAGAACAGAAAACCAGAATCCCTGGTGATGATCACTGGGTCAGGAGTGAGGGGCACCAGCAGGGCCAGGGGGCTGGGGGTGAATTTAGAATTTATCTTATTATTAGTGACTGAGGCACTGGTAGGCTTCCAAATTGCTTTAAAATTGTAAATATATTAATAAAACACTGTGTTCAACCTACTGGTTGAACACACACACTTGTCATTTCAGTCATGGGAAAAAACACAGATTTGGGGACTTTTAATGAGAGAATTTGCCATGAGAATTTGCAATTTTTATTAGAGAATTTCTGGTTTATAAAACAGAGAAAACCAGGATCCCTGGTGATGACAAACAAAAAAAACGCCAACCAGGGGATTTCATACCAGATGTATTTGGCCTAGATATTACTGTAAGATTTTATTAAAGAAAATATTTCAATCCATAAGCCTTTTTAGTACTACAGGAAATGCAATAAATCATGCAAGTTTCCCTTTCAGCAATTATTCACAAAGTGGTTTTTTTACATTTGTTTTAATCTGTTACACTTGCTTTAATAAAGTTGCTGAGGTGGAAAGAAAATCGGCATTCAAATGGCCTTTTCCCGCACAGGGGGGAAAAAAAAGCAAAAATGTCATACAGATACCCAACTTATCAGTAATAAATTACTCAAGTCTGCAAGTAGTCATCTAAAGAGTAGAGAAACATATGACAGTTTTTTAAACTATAACAATACCACTGTAAAACAGCTACATGGCATTTAAAAGTATTCAGCATATTTGCTGTGATACTTACATTAAACAAGATAGTGGCTCTCAACTTTTTTAGACCCAGGGCACCCCTTCATAATTTACTGAATTTAGCAGCACCCTATTCAAATATGGGTTTCATTAGTTTTTTGATTATGGAAAGAACAGAGTAATTCTTCTGTCACAAAATGTGCCCATACATGTGCTCTGATGCATTCCAATTAGAACCCCTAGAAGCAGACTCAATTAATTGACTCTGCTCTGCGTTATCAGAGCGCTCTAGCATTGCTGCAGCGTCACATGTACAAGCCCCTATGGGTTTAAAAATGGCTACTGGGGTGCTTTAACTAGATTGTCAAATGAGCTTTTAGGTAGTGTCCTGCAGCCATTTTTAAACATGCAAGGGCTCAATACATGTGATGCTGTGGCATTTTAATTAGAACAGCTCTACAGGAACCGTTAATTAAAATGCTTCCTCCCCACACCCCTGAGCATATGTATTCCTCCCCCCACCCCCTGAGCACATGTATAAGCAACCAAAGAATTCAGAAAACCCACAACAGGTCAGAAGGTTTTTGACACTATAGATTCCTATTTGAAATTTTTGGATTTATCGTGTTAATCCTGTAAGGGTGTTTGCACACCTCATGGTGGTAATACTGCACGGCACTCTATAGCAGCCTTCAAAGAATCTCACTGTACCGCAGGTTCCAGAGCACCGGGCTAAGAATCACTAAACTAAGGGTATGGAAAAATGTACGTTTGTAATGGTTTCAAAAGATGAAAGGGAACTGCAGCAGCTCTAGAACATGCAGCAGCTATTATGCTTTAACTGCTACATGTGCGTGAGCGATACAAATCAGCTCTAAGTCACCCCAATTCTGAACTTGGACAAAGCAGGATTAAAACGTACAAATGGTCCTGCCATCCCTGTGTCTACAGGCTCAAAATACACATAATAGTTACAGCATAAGAGCTGCTGTGCCCTCCAGAGGAGCAGTTTGTCCCTTTTTGAAGCTGGTCCAAGTGTACTTTTACCCATCGCAGCAGGGGCAAACAAAAGTTCTCTTTTTTAACTTAGAGTGAGTGTCAGAGGAAACTCACAGCAGACGTTAGTTTATTTTTTGCCTGACAAATAAAACTCCAAACTGCCACTAAAATATCAGGTTTTGGGTGACACTCAAGAGGGATGTGAGCATTTATCTGTCTATAGTGTCAATTTTAGAACTACATTTGTTGACTGTATCTAAATAAAGAAAATTAAATTTAAAATAGTTACTGGTTTACATACAACTTTTGGGGTTTTTCATGAAACTCCTGGGCACTTATACACATGCTCCAGGAGTGTGTGTGTGTGTGGGGGGGGGGGGAGTGCTTTAATTAGAGTGGCTCTGAGAGCCACTCTATTTAAAGGGCCCAGAGCATCATGTGTGTCAGCATCCTCACGCTGAAAAATAGTGGCGGGGGTGCTTTAAAGATTGAATGAGTTTTAGTTAAATCATCCCCATAGCCAGTTTTCAGGACAAGGACACTGATACACGTGATGCTGGAGTCTATTGGAGAGCAGCAATTACCATGCTCCAGCAGACTCAATTAATCAAGTCTGCTCTGATGCGCTGTAATTACAGCACATCAAAGCAGCCTCCCTGTATGTGTATAGGTGCCCCTTGAGTCTATCATGTATGGCAGATTCCTAATAAGAGCCTGTTTGCTTGATATAAAGTTTTTGCAATAGTCTGAAAGATGCCAAGGGCTTAGTAGCTTGATGGAGCGACAGCACTACTAATGCTTTCAAAAAGATTACAAGCATTGTTTGTACTCTTATTTAACCAAAAGACTAGTCTCTCCCTGTGCTTGAGCAGAGATTGTTTGTTGCTCCACAATGACAAAAGAAATGTTCTGGAAGGACTTGGCACAGTCTAGTTGCGAAGCTTCAGGTTGCACCGGCCCACAAGCAATGCCAGGAAAGAGAGAGTACATTTCAAAAGGCACTGGTGACCTGAAGAAACTTTCTTGAAGTGATATTGTTGGAATGTTCCAGGTAACGTGTAGGCAAACTAACAGAGGATGCTAGAGAGTCTATTCAACCCTAGGTAAAAATCTAATTGAGAGATTGGGAGTGAGCAGTTTATAATAGCTCCCATCGCTGAAATGTTCTTTGAAGATATTGAAATAAAATGCTTACTACTGGCCCTATTCTTCCAGTGCGAGTCACTTGGGTTAAGATAGCAAATGACACTGCCTTCAAATGATCTAAGGTTTAAATATGACTTTACCAGCAGCAGTCTGCATGACAGGCAGAGGTGATCAATGAAAATTTTTAAGAAACTACTCTAATAAAAACTGAAGAGGATATGTGAATAATTGTATCTTTGGTATTTTAACTAGGTTTCTCCAATCTAAATGAGGTTCTCAGCTCCTACTCATTAACAATGATATTTGAACTTTAATGCAATGACCTTACAGTAAAGTTGTTGGCCGATCCTACTCAGCCTTCACTTAAAAGAGAGAGAGAGAGAGAGAGAGAGAGAGAGAGAGAGAGAGAGAAAATGTGTATACATACATATACACACACACACACACACACACACACACACACATACCCCCCCCACATGTTCATGTTTGTGTAATTATAACATTTGCCAGCTGGCAAGCATTTCAGCTTTGCATCAAGAGCACACTCTGAACTGAACAGGTTTCATAAATGCCAATTAATTTGTTACTAAGAGTACAAATCTTACCACCTGCAAAGTTAGTAAATCTAGCTTTTAAATTTAGCTAATTACTGTATACTTGCATAGGTTATTTATTTTCTACTTAAAATTTTATAAGGAAAGGCAAAAAGACATTTTTTCTTTCCCTTTCAAAACCATGAGTAATATTGCATGCAAGAAAAAATAATGAAGATTCATTACTCTGGAATTTCATCACTGAGCAAATTAAAGAAAGAATTATTTTGATCGTTTCTCTTTACAATTGTCTTAAAAGACATTTCAGTAAGAATAAAAGTCTACAGTGATTTCCAGGGTATACATTTCTGTTTAAATAGAAAATAACCAGAACACAAAAGGAAGACTTACCCCAGTCCAGCTAAATCTGAAACAAGATTTCCCAGAGCAGCAGCTGAAAAATTAAGGGGGGAGGAAAAAAAAAAAGTTCTGATGAAAATTACTACACTTGATCTGAGCCTTCAAGAGGCCGTGATTGCATTAGTAACCAGAATTACATTTCTTTCACAAGTGATTTTTTTTCAGTAGCATAATTTTGTAACAGTAATTCTAAAAACTTATAAACAAGAGTGGCTGCTGCATTTTCCTGAAGTTATTCAATTTAAAAACAAAATTCATGCAGACCCTAAAAGTTAGCTTTAAAAAATGTCAGACTATTTAACAGTAGTCAAGCATCAGACAACTTTATACATGCAACAGAAGCCAAGGGGAGGCTTCTAATGAGTTAGCATTAATAGGCAAAGGAACTGTTAATTGTGTAAGTGCTCTCCCAGTAGAAGACACTCTATTCCCCGGCATTATACACATGCCAGACATCTGGTCTGATAGTCTAGCACACATCAGAGCAGACACAATTAATTGTGCTAATTAGCGTGCTCCAGTAGTCATGTGTATTCAGCGACCTCATGCTTCAAAATGGCAGCAGGGACGCTTTAACTAAAGATCAAACAAGCTTTAGATAAAGCAGCCCCACCACCATTTGGAAGTGTAGGACGCTGAACAGGTGGGACACTGCAGGAGTGTTTATTAGAGCACCTCTTGGAGTCACTCTAATTAAAGCACCCTCCCCTCCACCCCAGAGCATGTGTAAAGATTCCCTATTAGTCTGGGAATAAGGGGTTTACGAGTGGTTAAAAGAGTGCTTTTATTTATATGCATTTAAAATATACAGTTTAAGATTTGGGGACTAGAAAGCTAGAACTCAGAATCAGGTTAGTTTTTTTGTCATTAGACTTGGTTTTAATTAAATTAAAAATGTAAGGCATGATTAATCAATACAAGAAAAAATAAAACCAAAACAAAACCTCTTCTTGCCTGAAGTCCTGCATTATTTACAGGGACACCACAATGAAAGGCAGCAAATCTGCTTAGAAACAGAGTTCATTCTCTCACATAAGCATATTTTATTTAAGCTGGTAGTAGTTGCTGGACTGCTTCTATGTTAAGAGCATGAACTTACTAGACAACATGGTACCAACCCTCTTTTTTCATCAACACTCGGGCTGGAAGGGACCCTGAAGGATCATCGAGTCCAGGCCCAAATTTTCATGGTTTAGATAGCAACTGATGCTCCCGAGTATCATACATGCAAATTATAGGCAGACTGGAAAGTAGGGGTGTGCAAAGCAGGCCACATTCAATTCAGATTTGGCATGATTCAGGGGACAGTGATTCAATTAGTTGATTTGGATCACTGTCCCGATTCGATTCAGCCAAATCCGAATCTGAAGATTTGATTCCGATTCGGAGAATCAGTGATTCGGCCATAGACACAGCTTTATATGCTTTTTCTACATGACTCGAGGTACCAGGCACGGCTTGTGAACACTGAGCTGGTGGGGCGGATGAAGCATTCCACAGGAGCATGGGCCGCCCCCCCATGTGCTTGGCGGTGGACCCAGAAGTGGACCAGAAGTGCTTCCGGTCCACTTCTGGGTCTGCTGCAGAGTGCTCAGGGAACCCCCCCGCAGCTTGGCAATCAGTCCGGGGGGGGGGCCCCAGGTGCCCCCCCAGACCCAGGAGGCACCAGTCATTGAGCCCGTGCCTTCTTCACAGCTGGAGGAAAAGAGATGTTGCTATTATTAGTAAATGAAGAGGACAATATTTTAGAAAGGCTGAAGAGCTATAGAGTTTTCCCGTTTGGCAAGGTAATGACTATCTTTTCTCCTATTGACTTTATTTGAAATTGCGGGTGCCTAAGAGTTTGCAAAGTATCAGCTCCACAGTTGTCTATGGCTAATTTTATTTACAGAACCGCCAGCATTATGTAAAGGATGCCAGAGCTATGTTTCTATACAATTATTCTTGACATGCTATCTTAGTTAAAATTCCATTACTCCAGAGGAAATATTGACTTTCTTCAATGACCAGTTGTCACTGCAGAATGAAATGCAGTTTGGCAACAAAGAGAAGGTGTTTCCAATGCCATTAGGCTTATTTTCAGCTTGAACTGAATGGATTTTTGCCAGTGAGGACTACATTTATTGCAATTATCTTACCTGCCATAGTTGAAATTCCTAGGACAACTCCAATAGATAGTTCTATTTGGGTTCCCTGAAAATAAAGGGTGAATCATTATCTGAGGAAATAGTTATTAGAGGTTCAAAATATTGATACAATTAAAGCCTTCAAGTTGCTTGCTTCATTTTTAAAGCTAAAGATTATTACTGTAGCTTACTTAGGATGGGATATATCCTTCAAGCCTTTCCAATTGCCTTCAAACACTGTGGCTGTTTAACAGTTAATATTTCATTATTTATTCGTTTTACAATAGCAACCTACTGGCACAGACATCAGAAAACAAGTCTCAATCTCAGTATACTAATTTCCTAATAAAAGTAATAGCTAATGTGGAGATCATAGAAACAATCCTACAGTTTCAAGTGCTGATCAAACAAATCGAGACAGTAAAATCTTCTCAGTATGGA